AGAAATGAATTGCTGTATGGTTTAATTAGTTCATTATTATGCCTATTCTTACACGGTAATTTCTTTTATCATTCTAATCATTCACTTCACACTTTTTAAACCAAATGGAATATCAAAGGTTCTGTAGGATTATTTTTGGATCCTGCACATGTTTCACTACACAATTAATCTGTTTGTCAGAAATACTAGTTAACTTCTTCTCTTTACTACTTTCCTTTACTAGTCATTTTTCTCTATTATATAAGATGTAACTACCTTACTCTGTAAAAGGATAGAATTTGATGCTTTTGACTCATTTTATTAAAGATTTTTCAATTGTGCACTTGGCATCACTATAAAATATTTTAATTTTTATAAAGTTTTATAATTGAATATTTTCCTTTATTTATATCTCATCTGCAGTATTTATTTAGTCTTTTTACACGTCTTTACTTAGTTAAAATGCAGAGAGATAAATATGGTTGTTACTTTGCAGGGAAGATTCAGTACATTAATATAAACTGTACACTAATTCCCCCAAAGCATATATATACGTTGTAAACCTGAAGACTTTTTACACAGCTGCTTATTGCTAAACAGTGCCTTGTCCAGAAGGGGACAATCTGTGTCTCTAATTGCTGTCACTGAAGCTGAGATTCATTATGTGACTTTCCCATTAAAATGTGAGCATTAATTTGTATAATGAAATATCACCCACTGCAGTGTTCATTAGCCATGCCCTACTGTATACTGCACATTGTTAGCTACCTAGAAACTGTAGTTAATTTCACTAATGGATATTTCCCTACTTAGTGTTTGGTAGGAAATTTATACTGTAACATTACCTCTTAAACTTTTAAGGAAATTTAAATTCAATCAATTATTTTCAACAAAAGTTTGGGATGTCATTAAGACAGGAGAAAAGGCATGCTGTACAATGTTAAGGATGGGAAATCTGGAGAAATCTAGAGAAATGAAAAGTCCTTTTAGTTCATCTTAGAAATGTAAGAATAAAGGATGTTCAATACCAAAATTGTCTCCTCTTGGAGCACACATACCCATTTTCCTTAATTATTCATATTGCTCATCCCACTACAAGCGCCTTCAGAGAATGGCAACAGGCAGTCTTTTTTTAGGAAGGAAATGTGAATTGAACTCATTTAAAACAGCACCATTTTTACTGTATTTCATCAGTTCATCTAAGCAAGGTTTAAAATTGGCTAGTCACATTTCCAAGGGAAAATGCAGTAACGCTGGAAATGTATATAATACATCTAATATATGCAAGATATGTGTCATACATATCGTAACAAACTCTCAGTCAAAGGACACTGCCATGCCAAGTTTTTTATCCCTATTCATCTCTTTCTTAGGTTTCTGCTCTTTAGCACAATCCAAAGCATCTTCAGGGCTTTCCTTTGCTCAGGCACATCATTCTTTTTTCATTACTCAAGGGATTTAACTGTACCTGTCATATTGGGAATATACCAGAGCATCTAATGATGACACAAACCCAAACTGGTCTACATCTGTGGTAGCTTCTGAATGCTAATGCAAGATGCAAAGAGGAGCTGAAACCAACTCTTACATAATATGTCACCTGTCAAAGGTGGAACATAAGAAATTTTAATTTACACTTAACTGTTTCTGTGCAATCCAAAGGCCTAGACTATAAAGTAAACCCCACACCCATTCATTCCATTTCAAGGGGGTTAAGAGTGCTCAAGAACATAAAGATGCTCAGCTTTCTGAATGAAGGAACCTTAAGTTGCTGTCCTCAGAGGGGAAAAATGAAAACTCAGGAAGCATCGGCATTTGGCACATTATGAGGCTGAGATACTTGGATGGTTTTCCTTTTCACAAAGACTGAGCATCCCTAAGATATCTGTGTCATAACCTTCCCAGCTTTATTATATATTATTTTATTACCAGGAGGCTGAATCACAAACTGGACAGGCCACCCACGTCTGTTCTGCACTGCTGGTGCACAGACACGCTTTGCCCTTGTTTCTGCATCTCCTCCCACAGTGAGTTTGTGTGAGTTGAAGTAGGCAGCTCTGAAGAAGCAGGACCACACAGCCCACCTCTGTTCACTAGTCAGCATAAAGAGCTCATCTAAGAGGGCTGAAAGAGTTCTGCCTGTCCTCCCTAAGCCTGGAGGCTCTGAAGCACTTTGGCCTGAAAGTCCTTCCTCTTCTCTTTCAGGGTCGTCCCAGGGAAGTGTCTCATCCATCAACTGTTTTTAGAGCAAGAAAAAGGAGAAACTGATTTCATGTAATTACGCCCTTTTCTTCTTATCATATGGGAACAATCAGAAATCATATCTTACATCTTCCCCTTAAAGCCCTTCCTGGCTTAATATCACTGAGTTAGATAAGAAGAAAAATCCTCTACAGTTGTGTGTTGGGACACAACTGAGCATGCTAAATAAAACTTTGATTTGCTCTTTTTTCCTCCAGAAGCTTATTATATGATAGCAAACTACACAGAAACTGAGACTCAGTCTGGGGAAGGTTGCAACCATGAAATATCCAACGGAAAAAAGAAGCAACCCAAGCCACTAGCTAATTCTTCAGAAACAGAGCAGAGCTTCCTAATCTTGTGGAGGATTAAGCTGCTTCTCTAGATTTTTCAGGCCAATTGCCACAGAAGCACCTCCTGGCTGGATCAGACTTTGGGTCTTGTCTTGGCACGTGTACCAAACCAACCTAGTCGTGTGCCTCCAAACACACAGATGTTCGAAGGAACCCGACTTCTGCTGAACTGCTTGAGCTCATCTCTAACAAACAGGTGCTGTGAGAACAAGAACAGTAATTGAGCTAATGTAGTGGAGAAATACAGTAAAGTGATTTTTATCAGTCAGTTATATGATCCAGGCATATAATAAAGACAGAGTGTGACATAAAAGGCAGGAAACTGTCCCTGCTAAGTATGAACTAACAAATATTTGTTTAATAACTGGTATCTATTACGTAATTTCCCTTTACTGCAAAGTGACTTAATTTTTATTTAATAACTCTAGTAATTTGCCAATTTACAATTTAATATTTTTTATTAGGATTATTTCCAATATGTAAAACATTGCTTCATTTAAACATACTCTTGTAATTATTTACAAATGCTTTGTTCTCAAACTAATGGAAATTGATCTTTATCTATTTCAAACTTATAATGATTTTTAAGTATATTCCAAATTTGTTTCAATAGTTTCTTTTTTCCTTATTTTGTTATATCTGTTTATCTTTTTCTTATTTTAATTTTGTTTAGTCATTTTTAATATGCAAGTTTTATGGAATATTTCCATTGTCATTAATTTACTTTCCATTAGTTCTAAGGCACAAACACCAAATGTGTAATCACTACCATCTTTAACATAGGAAGAAAGTGATCACTATATAATAAAACCAAATGAAGAGATGGGCAGCCTCAGGTTATTTTAAAAGTTTTTCTTTGCATGTCCAACAGTAAAAATGTCAAATTCTTTAAACTCCATAGGTATAAGGTTATTTTTCAATAAAATAACCACCATTCCTTTACTTTTACTACATTAAAAAGCACACGAACAGGGTTTTCTTCTTTTTTTTCCCCCACAAAGTCCAACACACAGAAAAGAATATTCCTGCACTGCATGGTTTGCAATCCAATCAGACAAAACTACATTAGAGTGCCAAATTTTAAAATTCAGATCAAACCAGTGTGGTATTCTCCAAAATGCAAAGAGAGGAGAATAAAAATACAGTGAACAAATTTTCCCATCTCAAAAATGGTAAGTTTTTCTTTAACTAATTTTCATTTTTAATTTTACAAAATCAGGTCTCACATTCTCAAATCCAATATTAAGTATTAGATCCATGGAAGCACATAGGAGAAACATGACTGCTGACTTTGGGAAGGGAGTAAAATTCTTCTTATTTGGTACTTCAGTGAAATAAGAGTTAAAAGTGAGGTCTTTCGAGTAGGAGGTTCAACTGGAATGTATTTCTTCATGCAATAATTTTACCTTTCTTTTAGAAAAGTAGCAGTAAATTTCTGAAATTCCTTTAAAATGGTTTAAAAAGAAAATGTCCCCACAATTAAGGGACCCACTATATCTGTTTCCAAAAAGAAGTACCCCAAATCTCCAGTTTTGAATACTCTTCCAAAGTCTACTAATATAACTAACACTTGGAAGAAAACAGTATCATATTGGCCATACACAGAATTTCAAATGATGTCAACAGGACCTGAGGATTTCAACACTGTATGTCAGATTTTAATTATGGATAGAATAAGCCTTAAACACATCCTGTGTCTCTACATGAACCTTACCACACACACATGTACTTTTAAGCAAACAAGATATTGCAATTTAAATGGAGTGGCTATAGTCTACTGGTATTGAGAGCAGTCCTCCCAGTGAGAGACATACCAAAATAAAGCGAGTATCCAGACCAGTAGCAAATCTCTGTAGGGTAGAAATGATGTGATTGTTACTGAAGTAAAATACGTTAAGTTTCACCACAGTGCACAGCATGATAAGTTTTGCTACTTACAAGTACTTAGTCATGTGAGTTCTAGTGGGGGAAAAAAAGCAGATCCATGAAGCTGATTTATCCATATGAACAGTGAGAGGTTAAAAATGAGCATGCTAAATGGAACAAAAATAGTAACTGAGAAAAACATACAGAATCCCTAAGCAGATGCTAAGGAAGGCCTTTGAAGCAGTTAGTATAACTAAGTCTGAAACCAATAGGCTTATGCCTATTGAAGGACAAGGGTAATTGAAGGAAACAGTGATGAAGCAGGGAAGGAGACAGAAATAACCTCAACTGGGAAAAGATGATTCTATTAAAGTGGTCTTTATCCAACAACACATTCCTTGTGCTTTTATTTAAGACTGTCATACATCTTTCTCAAAAGACTCTCTCCAACTAATAAGTCCAAATCTACACTGGGAATTAAGGCTCCTAGCCACATATTATGTTAACCCCCCCCCACACATGGCATGTGTCGACAGCGCTCCGCTCACTTGTTCCTCTCACCTGTGTGTATTCTCAAGTGGACCTTTAAGTGATGGGATGTTCTGAAAGTTTTTCCACAATATGGGCAGTCTTTCATGGCAGAACCAAGGCTCCTGTCTCTCAGTAAAGCTGGCTGCTGGACTCCTACAGATCTCCCAGCTTCTTCTCCAATGTCTGCAACACAGAAATGTTCTCACATCACTTCAGCACATGTCAGGAGTTGTTCTCACTAAAACTGCTAACACAACACAAAGTTAAACATGTCAATACTACACCTGTCTATTTCATTCTTTCAATCTGACAGAATGCTGACAATTCATGTATTTTCTTGTTATTGTCTTAAATTATTTCATCTTGGCTATCATCATTTTAAGCAGCATATGGTACCTTTATATTGAACTGAATTATACAAGAAAAGAAACAGCTGTGTCAGCAGCTGGTTTGATTTCTTCTTTTGCTTCGTTCCTATTAATTTTTTCCCCAAAAGTTTGAGATTGTTGTTTTGTTGATTCTATTTAAGTACTGTGAAAATCTGTATGCTTTTAGAGGGAAGAAGTTTGCACCAGTGTATTAAAACCTCCTAAAAGAACAAAATTGCAGTGAGAAGAGGGTCCAACAACAGTGATGATGTCTACACACACTTCCTTCAACAACTAACAAACTTCCTTCTGCAACATTTCAGCACTGGAATGACAACCAACAACCTAGTCAGTGACCTAATATCATGGGAAAAGCAATGAAAAAATTCATCAGATGAGAGGGAATTCCTTCTCCCTCTCACCCACAGCTCCTGCGTTTTCTCCTTCAGTGTTCACAGCTACACTTATTCTTTGCATCATAATACAGTGGGTGAGACTCCAGGACACCTCTTCTCTCTCCTGATATAAAGAAACAGTAATTTTCAGCCATCTCGAATAAGCTGCTTTTATCCAAGCAGGCTACAAACAAAATAACTTACAAAAGACTGACATAAAAATTGCAAAAACGTAGGGCATTTTTAAAAACTCATTATGCAAACCACACAAAACTCATCTATCATCTTGTACTTACAGGGACATGTAATATCACATATGTGTATCAATTTATGATTTCACCAAAAAGTACCAGGCAAATGTTGAAATTCTGAACCAGATTGATGCTACTGGTATGTCAGGAGCAGTACAGAGGGACACATCATCACATCCCTGTGCAGGAGCTGAGCTATCTGAGTTATACTGAGGTGGGGAGCATACAGTTAAAACCTCCATGCAGAGTCTCGATTATTTCAACCATAAACTCCTGACTAAAAATGTTCTGTCTCTACCCATTTGATATGTAACTAAAGCTGTCAGGAAACATAGTGCAGTTTACACAGCATTGCCTTTTAAATGGAAGTAATGGGACATAAGAAAGACTTAAACATTTGGCTCTAATAAAATCTATTCTCACAGTAGCAGAGACCCAAATACCAGATTTCTGGAAAAGGTAACACTAACAGGCATTTCAGTATGTATTATAAAATGGTCCCTCTAAACTATTTTGTTTAAAGCTTGAAAGAAGGACATGATAGAGTGATTAAAATATATATCTAAATGCTTATCTTATTCCTGTATGTAATCAAGCTATTACTAGTTTTCAAAAGGCAAATCTGATAGTTTTCACATCACAATCTTGTTTAACATTTTCTGACTGTTCTTAGACTGCAGAGTTAAAGCATAATATTTAAGTTAGAAAGCTAGTAAATGTCATTTTGAATTATCTTCACATACATAAAGTAGCATACTGCAGGAGTGTATTTTGTCTTTGTGAGTCCAGGAAAACATATATAGGTCCTAGTCTATAATTCCAATATCCCTAAAGAGTTTAGATTTTCTCCTTTTTTACTCCTCAAAAGTTGTATATAATTATGGCTTAAGCTGCTTTGGGAAAAAAACGAATTTCTGAGCGCAAAAAGGTTTTTCTGAAGAGCAAAATGCAGAATGCATGATAATAAAATGCAGGATTTTATTCTGGTTTTCAATAAATACTATATGAGCATTATAGATAAATATATAGATAAAGTTAACAAGCCACTCAGGAGGAATTCACTGAATAAGTCTACTAGTTATGTTTTGCTATATGTCACTCTAAATGATGGCCTGTTATCCATTTGCCTTTTATCTTTCTATCTAGAATATGTGTGGCCCAATAAAAAAGAATAAATTTGTAAGATGAACATCTCGCTTTGCAGATTTAAGAGTGTAATTTTCACTTTACACAAAATTGAATTTTTTCAAGGCAGTGAGACGACGGAGTTTACTCTAGCACTAATCCCTCTGAAAAAGCAAACTGAAAACAACAATGAAGCAAAGAAAGATGTGGGTGGTCTGAAGAGTTTTCTTTTAGATTTAAGTAGACATACAGTAGATAGCTCCAAAGGCTTTGCTCCAACAGGGGCCTTACCTTGAAGAATTTTTCTTCCCACAGTGAAATCATTCCTAAGACTTTAAAGCTGGGCTGAGGGGTTTTCTTTTGAATTCCTCTGCCTACAAAGCCCACCGAAGCGCTGGAGGCCATTGCTACCTGAATGAGCAGCTTTACATCTAAGTTCTTTTATTTCAAACAATGAAAAGATATGTTCAAGGCTGCCGACTCTTCCCATCAAATGCTACCCCAGCTTCTCACTCGGGCCCCATTGTGGCACATTGTACCTATTTGTCGAGGCACTTAAGTTTAAAATGTGCTTAACTTTAAAATGTGTTCAAGTCTCACTGACTCTGCTACCAGGGTTTCCTCATACCAAGTCTCTTAAAAGCGATCTATGGAAAACGAAGGGTGAAAAAAGTGACACTGAAAAAGGAGAAGAGATCAGCAAGAAAAAAGAAGCAAACTGGTGAATACAGACTATGCCAACAACAGAGTATGTGGGGAATGAAAAATGTTCAGCTCTAGCAATAATCATGTATCTTACAACTCTGGTGTCCCCTTTCTCCTGCTGTTGAGAGCCCCTTCACAAGCAGAATATCTCAGTTCTGTAAATTGTGCAAAAATGTAGTGGTGTTTTACGGATCTGCAGAACTAGGATTAGCCTCCACAAAGTAGTTTAATTTATGATTTACTCAGGATTTGAGCTATGGGTTTTGGGCTTCTCAGTTCTGAGGATAAAAGATCAGGAAGGAAAGAGAACAGTTACTTATCTTACAGCCATTGTGGTTCACTGAGTTATGTGGTCTATATGATGTGCACTCGATGCACATGGGATTAAACTGCCTTTTTTTTACTATCTGCTTCCATTATAGGCAGAGCAACGTCCTGAATGTCTTCCTGCCCATCCCAACCTTTCCTGATTCAAATGCAGGAAATAACAGAACAGAGTATAAAGTATGGTATAGATGTAAATGCTACATGTAAGTCTTCAGAGTCTTGTCTCTGAACTTACTCTTGCTGAACTTTCACTTTGAAAGTGTCTGTTCACAGCAAAAGTCATGGACAGAAGTGCAAAAAGCAATACTCAGTTCTACATACAAAACTGGTCTTTGTGTCAGTATAAGGAAAAGGAACAGCTGTGAGTCCTCCAGCTGCTCTGCTGTACCTGCTGGGCAGGCAGATACTGCTCCATGGCACAGGACACAGAGGAATTCAGCCACAAAGCAGCTTCTGGGGTGGTATAACAGGGACATCTCTTGCACACCATGCCTCAGCTACACCTAATAACTGACTGTGCACATGTTCTCATGGGACAAATGCAAGGAAAGAAAGTTCACTTCAACATCCACATCAGAAGGTGCCAATTAGCTGCATAACCAAAGAGCTAATTTGGCCAAAATGTGGTCAAACCTGCTTGTCACGCAGACTGAAATTAAAATTGAGCAATCCATAAGATCAGCATTTGAAGGATTGCCCTTCTTCAGACTGTGGCCACTTTTCAGGAGAGGAGGGACTAAAAGCCACCACTCCCCATCTAGTATAGAGATGGCCCATGTAGCTCTGTTTCCACATCACCACCTAACCTGGAGAGGAAGTTTCCAAAGAGACAGATAATCCCAATCAACAGTTTCAAACCAGGAGCACTTTAACAGTAGAAGGTTAAGAGAAAGTGAGAAAGACACCAGCGAATCCTTTTTTTACAGCAGATCTCTTACTAGGTATCAGAAATGATCTACCCAGAAATGAGCCACGGCAGGCGGTGCCCTCAGCACACACATGCAGATGTCACAGAGGCAAAATGCCAACTTCAGTGGATATTGCTAGAAAAGAGAAGACAAACTTAGGTGGACTGTGAATCTGTACTCAAAGCAAAAGCTATCTAGACAGACACATGAAGAGCAAAAGAAAACAAATTCTTTGACATTTCCATATATATTCTGTACAACTGGCCCACCTGTCTGGGATGAATCTATAAAAATGATTAGAAAAGGATGGATTGCTTTCATAAAAAGAAACCTGTTTTCACTTGGTTAGGCAGCAGCACTGACTTCAGTCACGTTAGCAGCCAAATTTTGAAAGGAACATCTACATACATGTCCCACAAATTTTACCAGACTATTTATTTGCTGTGTGTATGTGAAAGTGCAGAAATTCACAAAGAGGTGCTTTCATGTTCAAAGGAGCTAAATTGCAGTCCTCATGCAGACTAAATCATCAGTGAAGTCAGTTGGAATTTGTCGACACAGGGTTTGCCAAATTAGCCAAAAACAGGCAATCACATGGAAAAGGTAATCAACTCACAAAATAGGTAATCAGACTTACAAGTATGTGTTTGCCCTTGCACAATTTTCGACACTATTAAAGAACTCTTTGAAAATGTGGCCAAAAGCCTTTAAAGCCTCACATAATCCCAGGTCTTCATATATTTCTGAAATTCAAAATATTTGTAGTTCTTCAGAACTGCCTGTAAAAGTTAATGAAATATGGTGCAACAAGAAGTGGTAGTGACCACAGCTATTTTTTGATGACCTGTAAACAACCCAGATTAGCCCATCTTGCAGCAGGAAATCTAATGTCAAGAAGGGAGTCAGAAGATATTCAGTGTGTTAATCCTGTCACTGCTGTCACCTTTGTGCAAGTATGCCTGGACTCAACCACTTCTATCCCTGGGAAGCAGCACAGGATATGCAAAGTTTTTGGGAAAACATGCATTACCTTTCTTGCCTATTCCTTAGAGAAAGCTTTAATAATACTGAAAATAGTGGAAAATAGGAATATAAGTGGGAATA